AAAAAAAAAAAAAGTCATGAAACTGGACCTCTATCTTATATCATACATAAAAATTACCTCAAAATGGATTAAAGTATAAAACCTAAGACCTGAAACTATAAAACTCCTAAAAGAAAACATAGGCCATACATTCCTTCACAATAGCCTTAGTGGTGATTTTGGTTTTGACACAAAAAGCAAAGGACACAAAAGCAAAAAATACATCAAGTAAAAATACAATGAACTAAGAAGCTTCTGAAGAGCAAAGCAAAAAAATGAGAAGGCAAGCTACTGAATGGAAGACAATATTTGCCAGTCATATATGTAATAAGGGGATAATATCCAAAATATATAAAGAACTCATACAACTCAATACCAAAATAAAATCCAATTAAAAAATGGGCAGTGAAACTGAATAGACATTTCCTAAAGACATCCAGATGGCCAACATGGTACATGAAGATATGCTCACTATCAATAATCATCAGGGAAATACAAATCAAAACCACAATGAGATATCACTTCACACCTGCTAGAATGGCCATAGTCCAAAGAACAGGAAATAACAAGGGTGTGAAGAAAAGGGAAGGCTTATGCACTGCTAATGGAAATGTAAATTGGTATAATCACTGTAGAAAACAGTATGGAGGTTCCTCCAAGAAGTAAAAATAAAACTACCACATGATCCAACAATTCTACTTCTCAGTATTTATCTCAAGACAAGGAAAACACTGACTCAAAAAAATTTATGTACCCTTCATATTCATTCCAGCATAATTTACAATAGCTAAGACATGTAAGCAGCCTCAGTATCTACTGACAGATAAATGGATAAAGAAAATGTGCCATATATATTTTTTACATATATATAGATATATATTACCAATCATTATGTTGTACAGATGAACTTATATGTTATATGTCAATTATGTCATCAAAATATTAAAAAGTCCAGAGCATTTTTACTTATTTATTTATTTTTTAAAGATTTTATTTATTTATTTGAAAGAGGGAGAATAGGACAGAGAGAGCACAAGAGAGGGAAGGGTGGAGGGAGAAGTAGACTCCCCGTTGAGCAGGGAGCCTAATGTGGGACTCAATCCTAGGACTTTAGGACAATGACCTGAACAGTCGCTTAACCAACTGAGCCACACAGGTGCCCCTAAAAGTCCAGAGCATTTTTAACTAGACTATTAATTTAAGAAGTAAAATATACCAAATCACACAGTGTTTATATATTTCTAACTCAAAATTTTGTTTAAACTTAAAATTTTTAAAGTAATTCTCCACATCAAATGTTGGGCTCAAACTCATAACCCAAAGATCAAGAGTCACTTGCTCTACCTACTGAGCCAGCCAGGCACGCACCCCTTAAATTTTAAATTTTGTATTTAGATATATTCTATTTTTAATTTTTTTTATATTTTATATAAAATTGGGAGATATATTGGGATAGACAGCATAAGTGTTTTTGAATATCAATTTCATTTATATGCAAAAATCTAAAATGTCTATTGCTTACCTGATTTCCATGGAGATCAAGTTTGACTAATTTTATACAACTTTGAAGTGGACGAATATCTGTAATAAAATTGTTTGAGAAGATGCATACTCTGAGAGAGATATAGGATTGCAAATCTTCCATGGATTTTAAATGCAGGCCACTGAACTTCACAAAAACAAAATCTTTTTGATCTTCTATCATGTTCTCATTATAGTGACTCCATTCTTCATGACTGGTTAGCTCTTCTGTTATTGTTCCATGAAACATCTAGGAAACAAAAGAGTTGAAGGTAGGAAATGGAACGGAATTTTAAGGGGTTTGGGCTGTTTTTTAAAGGCATTGCTCAAAGATCATATACACAAAGTGAAACTTCTTGTTTTAATATTTCGTTCAAAACTTCCCAACCTTGGAGAGTCAGAATTGCTTTGATAGGATATGTAACGAGTGTGCTGCTAGGGAACCAGTGCCCATATATACATGGCTCCTGTGTTTACTCTTGTACTGGGAGTTCACACCTTGACTTTGCCTCACTTCTACTACCCTCCCTGCATTTCAGGGTTTTTTAAGAGTATCTCCATGGATGCAATCTCCCTTCTCTTATTTTAACAATACATTCTAATAGCTTTTAGCTGCACATGCTGGGAATTTCCAATCCAGTTAAATGTTTTTTTTTTTTTTAATTTTAAAAAAATTTTTTTAGTCCCCTAATATTTTTCTGTGGAACAGAAAAAAGTAACGGTTAATAGTTCTTAACTCAGTATATTTTTATTGTGAAAAAGTACTATTGAAACTTAGGTAAAGGAAGGAGAAAGCCAAAACAGAGCGTACTACACAGGTGTGAGTGCGTTAGGGATAGAGGGACAGAGTGGAGTGAACACCCTTCAAGACAAAAGAACCCTCTTCCCCTGTTTCCTCCTTGCGGAAGGAAGACTGACCAGAGTAGACCTTACTTTCTTAGGTCTTCTGGATACCAGCTGTTTCCAATATCAACCTCCAAGATGATATCAGGGAAGTCCAATGCTATGGAATATGACTTTATGCTCTTAGAGATTTAGAAAGTAAAACAGAAATTAGGTACATTGTTGAGGTTTATAATCCTCAAACTTTGTATTTTATATATGTTTAACCGATAGGGAATGAGCATCTGGGGAAATAAATTTAGGCTCAATATTTATCTTTTACTGTTTTATTACTGCTTCTCCTGTGCTTTAGTTTGAAAATTTGGGCTTTTGGACCTGATTTCCTTGTAACCTCAATTTATAAAGCTGCGAGGAAGAGCATATTTGTTCTCATTTCAGTCTTCTGTTAACAGGAATCAGGCAAAAGTAAATTATGTTAGATTTTTCAAATGGGCTCTTTTCTACTCTGTAGGTATTTTTTCGACTTCCAAAAATAAATCTGGAAACAAACAAAAAAGTTTCCAATAGCTAGTGAGAATACAATGGGTAAAAAAGTAAAAAAAAAAAAAAAAAAAAAAAAAGAAAGAAAAAGAAAAAGAAAAAAGAAAATATCTAATTTGTAAGTGAAATCTAAACTTAAAAAAAAAGCAGAATCAGACCTGTATATCAGAGAATAAACTGATAGGTGTCAAATAAGAGGGGCTGGGCAAAGTGGGTGAAGGGGAGAGAGAGATACAGGCCTCCAATTATGGAATGAGTAAGTCATAGGAATAGAAGATACAACATAAGGAATACAGACAATGGTATTGTAATAGTGATGTAAGGGGACAGATGGTAGCTACATATGTGGTGAACATAGCATAATGTATAAAATTGTTAAATCACTAAGTGGTATACCTGAAACTAAATCAACTATACTCAAATAAAAAAAAAATTAAAACAAAATTAATTCCCATAAAACCTTGTAATTGAAAGCATTTTAAAATTATGAAATTTATATAACTACAAGTCAAAAATGTTATCATTGCCCTTGCCAATTAACTAATCAGTAAAAGGAAAAAAAAATTTCCTTTTTTCTAGGATACTTAGAGAACATGGAATTTGGTAAAAACAGCTAAGAAGTAAAACATTGAGGCAAGAAAACTAAAAGAAAATGATACCTTATTATGCCTTGTATAATAATTCTGGTTAAAATATTCTGCTAAATAAAGAAATGCATTAAATGATAAGCTTCCAAGTCAAGATAGTGCTAACATTTGTATAAGAGGCTAAAAAATGTAGCTAAATGAAATTAAGTCTCAATACAAGGTTTCAACTGTTACAAAATTCTTAAAGAGACAATTTGCAATCACATTATTTATTTCTTTTTTTTTTTTAATTTTATTTATTTATTTGACAGAGATCACAAGTAGGCAGAGAGAGAGGAGGAAGCAGGCTCCCCGCGGAGCAGAGAGCCCGATGCGGGGCTCGATTCCAGGACTCTGGGATCACGACCTGAGCCGAAGGCAGAGGCTTTAACCCACTGAGCCACCCAGGCGCCCCAGCAATCACATTATTTATTTCTATGTTCAATTCAGCTAAGCAATTAAGATCTGGAATCCTAACAGTATTAAAATTTGACTAATTTAAATTTATGTAAGATTTCTAGATCAAAAGTTCTTTAATGTAATTTTACATAGTATTTCTCATGTATTTGAAATTTCCTTTACTGTAGGTAATTTTAGCTTTCACAAAACACAGTCACCCAGTGATAGTTTAGAAGAGAGTATTTGAACTCAAGTGGCCTATCTGAGAGCATTTAGTAAGATTAACTATCTTCCCTGTTGGAAGAATCTCCACTATGTGGAAATAAACTAGGGTAGCAAAATCCAAATGAAAATAAATGTGGAAATCCAGCTAAACCCTCACACTCTTTCAAGAGATTAGCTATTTTTTATATCCTAGCTAAAGCCTGGGAACTGTAATCCTCAAACTCTTAAGTACCATTTAAGGAATTAAACAGAAAGCAGATTCCTAGGCCCCATATCATATCTGCATTATCAGAGTCTCTGGGCTGAGGGCCAAAGAATATGTAATTTAGCATGTACCTGGGTAAGTCATGGACACCTTGTGAAAGACCAGCCTAAACTACAAGTAAAATGGTCTTCCAAATATAAAGACCCTGATAGAAAATAAACAGACGTGAATGAATCTTTACAAACTTACCAAGCTCTATAGGTCTTCAAATGAAAGGCAATATACAAGAGGTATCCCATTATTTGGACTCCATATTTCGAAAAGACCTTAAGTCTTTCCTCAAGCTCTCCTTTCAAAAAACCTATTTTTTTTTTCCATTTTGGCCTAATATAGGCAAACTCTGGTTTATCACAGGGGTTTATGAGAGACCACATCCTGGGCATAAATCAGAATGTTTCAAGACGATGGGGTGCTCAAAAGTTTCAGCTATAGAATACAATTTTTGAGTCAATAGTAATTTTGTAAGAAATCTGCAAAGCGGAGTCATATCCAAACTATTCTTTTCCTTTCTTTTTTAGCCAAGTGATTTTTTAAAATTATTAATAGGCTTTATTTTTTAGAGCTGTTTAAGTTTACAGAAAAATTGAAAGTGCGCAGAGATGCCATATACATCCTTATTGTCAGTTCCCCCATTAACATCTTGTATTAGTGTTGTATATTTATTACAATTCATGATCCAATCTTAATGCATTATTATTAACTAATTATTATTAACTAATGCATTATTATTAACTGAAGTTAAAGTGTTTAAATCATAGCTCATAGCAAAATCTCTCGACAAACAAAACATATCAACATAGAACAGCATGATTTTACATCTTTTGTCAGTGCACTGATAAACTTGTGTGTGTGGATGTGTGTGTGTATAGACAGTGACACATTGATAGATAAACTATTACTTCAAGCATTCATTGTTCACACAAATTATTCCATCTCTAATAGTTTATTTTGGTTTTTCTTCATTTCTTTGTAGAAGATATAATATTTTTAGCATTTATTTTCAGATTCTAAACAGTGTTACTAAGTATAATTATTGTTTATAAACTTATAACAAGCAATGAAAGATTTTTATTTTAAAATTTTCTCAATTAATGTGATTCATATGTCATTTGAACATGATGTCAATAATCTACCACTGTTATTATTCAAAAGTAAAATTTTTTTCTATTTCCTTTATTGATCTCAGACATACTAGGTAATCTGACTAAATGAAAGGTTCTGCAATTACTTAAGCACTCTAACTTTAGCCATTAATTGATCAACTTTGTTACTTACTCCATGAAATTCAAGGACACTGTTTTGAAGTTAATGGATACTGATATATAAGATAACAATGACCCCTTCCTCAAAATGCCTAAATATGTTCAAAATAATTTTTTAATAATACCTAATGAGTGAGTTAGTGTGATTAGTATTATTGCCTCACTTGAAAACTTTTTCTTGCATATAAGACATATAGTCTGAGAAAGAAGAGAATTATTAGGTCACACAAATCCAAATTTGAGATAATTGTCATGATAGTACTTAACTGAATATCTTTTTATTCATTTTGGACAACTACTTCCTAGTTTGAGTTAAAAAGATGCCAATTATAGACATATTTTTAAAAAAACCTTCTGTAACATTAAATATCAAAATGATTAGGAAACTAAAATTTCAAAATTTTTTAAAAAATCTAGTTTGCCTAATTATTTTATGTTTAATGTAAACTCTGTGAAAACAATAAAATTAACTATGTGGTGAAGTAAAATAGAATTGTTGAAATATTAACTTTTTAATTCAATAATCAGAATTCTGAACAGTTAACAATAATGGATTCCTAGTTAATGAAATATGTTGAATTTTGCTATGCTTAACTCTGATATTTAAGGATGTCATATTTACTTCTCTCCTGGTGTAACCCTCTTCAGCAAATCATTGTCTAATTAACTCTTAGTAATTTACATTCCTGAGCCATGCCTACATCTCCAATTTCGAAATTATATGTTTATATGTTATACAATCTAACTGTTGTCTTTCCAATCAAATTACATACACCCTGAGGTCAGGGCACTTTTTTTGTAGTTTTCATAGTTTGGACCTAGAACTGAATCATGTTTCAATAAATATGGCTATTTTTTACTTTCCTCAGAGATACAGTAAATTTAGAAGCAGAAAAAATTAATACTTCTATTCCTGAATAATCAATGGTTCAAAGAAGAAATAAAAGTGAAATTTAAAAAAAAAACTGGAAACAATTGAAAATAGAAACACAACATACCACCACGTACAGAATGCAGCAAAAGAAATTCTAACCAGGAATTTCATGGTGATAAATGCATACATTAAAAAAAATCTTGAAAAAGCTAACTT